CCCCACCCCCAGTTTACTCCTTTCCTTGAAAAGCAAAAGACAAACTCCTTCAGTTGTACACAATCCCCTCCCCTCCCCTGCACATCCCCACTACAATCCCAAGTATACTCCATTCTGCGACCCTCATTCCGGACTTTTATGATAATCATAATGCCCTAAAATATATTAATTTTAAACTATTCTCTCCCTTATTGGCTTCAATGCAGTAAACATAATTTATCCAGTTTTTCTCAGTCTTGATGACACTCCATCCATCATGTTTTTGACCCTTTAAGTCTTGTCTTTAAGTGAAGAGACTGACTTATTTTTCTCCTGGGGAGAGACTTGAATACTGACAGTTGGGTCAGCAACCCAACACTTAACCAACTATGACACCATGGGTCTTTATAGGGTTTATAAAAAATGTTATTGTTGTTACCTGCCATTGAGTCACTTGCAACTCTTAGCGACCCTATGTAAAAGAGCCCTAAACCCTGCTCCTGTGCCAACCTTATTGTCTCTGATACACCTGCCTCCATTACCTCAGTTACTGAATCGATCCATCTCACAGACGGTCTTCCTTTCTTGTGCTGTCTGTCCCCCTACCTCCCCAAACATGGTATCAGTTTCCAAGGACTGGTCCCTCCTTGTAACATGTCCAAAATATCAGCCTGGTTTCACCCTCTGCAGGACAAATCTATTTGTAGCAGTTCATGGTATATTAAACATGCTTGTCCAGCACCACAGCTCAAAGGCATCAATTCTCTTTCTATCATCCATAGTCATTGTCCAGCTCTCTGACGCATAGCAAGCAATTGCGAAAATTATGGCCTGGATCAGGTGCATCATAGTCTCCAGACTGATGTCGTTGCTCTTCAGTATAAAAAATAGTACAATAATAATAAGTGGGTCAAAGTTTTTAATAAAAGAAAATACTGAACTTGGTTTTGTAGTGGAAATTTTATTCAGTAAAGTTGCCAGAAAAAATGTGTGAACTTTCCCATCTCTTAAATATTTCCAGATTTTTTAAAGTAGAGTTAACATATTTTATGAATACAATTTGGTGTTTGTTTGTAGTAACGACCTTATCCACTAAATTGCTTTTCAATTTATGGTGAATTTACCCTGTTCTATGGATACATAAATGGAATCTTGGTTGTATACACCAGAACATGTTATTGTCTGATATTGAGTCAGAATTGACTCACAGCTGACCTTTCAGTAAATCTTCAAAGGCTATAAATCAATCACGTGAGACTTTACTCATCTTTCTCCCACAAAGCAGTTCTTGGATTTGAACCCCAAGCCTTTTTATTCTTTAAGCTATTGGCTTTCTACTTAGGGCAAAATTACCTGTGTCAGGCCTTGGTTTCCTCATCAGAAAAGTGAAATAATAATAACTATTTCAGAAGGTGGTTTGAAGGATTAAATAACTAATACACTTGAAGTGCTCAACTGAATGTCAGACTGAGACTCCACTAAAAGGGAGCTATTATTAGTGATTGTTGTTATGTGCTCTCAAGTGGCTTGTGACTCATAGA